GATGTGTGCTAAAGGGATAAAAGAATTCCTGTTTTACTTTACCGCTTTGCAGTGCTGCTATTACATCAGGCTCAGTTTTGAAACCCTAAACCCCTCTGCACTTGCTAGTCCTTTTTGCTTCACTCTTTCAGGGAGCCCAGGTGGTAGTGAGGTTTGCTTTGGCTCCTGCAGTGGTTAGGTCAGCCTGCTAGATGGGGAAAAAAAAACCCCGTGCCTGTCCTCTTCAATAATCATCTTCTGCCAGCTGGTGCTCTGCAGGAAATTCCGAATTGTTAATTTTGTTAGGGATATTTGTTTTCCACACTGCCAGTTTGACTTACTCCAGGGCTGGCGAACATTGCCCTAGGCACTGTGACAGCCAAGGAAATCCTAGAAGAGAATTAAGACATAAAAAAAAGAAAGAAAGCACGTAGAGATTGAGAACAGAGAAGCAGTTCTTCTTTTAAAATGTGCTGTCTAGATTTCATCTTGTATTAATCAGCCTTCCTTTAAACAAAAAAGAAAAAAACCTTGCTTGAAGACCATGCATTTCTCATGTCAGCTGAGAAGAGATTTGTATTATGGTGGTGAATGTCTATACAAATCTTCTTTAAACTGCTAGCATGTGTGTTGATCCTTAAACACTGCTTCTAAAGTCTCTAGCTCATACTGGAACTGCTTCTTTTAAAGCTGGTTATGGGAGAATGGAGGGCTTCTTTTCATCTTATATTCCTCCCCTGCCACAACAGAAGGTGGCAGCCTTAAGAGACCGCATTTGAACACCTTGAGAACTTCTGGGTCATGCCACCTTAGCTGATATTAGCGGTCAGGAAATATTAGATGATTTGTTCTGGTTGGGTCTCTATGGACTAGGTACAGCAAGGCAGGTGACTTTCAACCTCTTTTTAGTGGCTCCCCTGCCAGGAAACCCATGCATGTTGCTGCAGATTTAGGACACACACTCTGTTCACATGGGCCAGGCCTCAGTATTGTATTACATGACCTGACAGTGTGCCTGAGAGCACTCTCAGTACTGCATCTTCTTACATATTTCAGCTGCATCTTAACAAAGGAAAGACTGGTATTGATAGACGATCCTGTCCTTCCTCCAAGAGCTCAGGATGACGCTGTCCTTCCTCCAAGAGCTCAGGATGGCTCTCCTCACGCCAACTGTGTGAGGGGGATATGGCTCAGGGTTGGAATGGGTGGCCTTAGGTGAGCATTGTGGCTGAGAGGGAATTTGAACCCAGGGATTCCTTGTGCTAATCCAACACGTTTTCAGCTATACCTCACTGGTTCTAAAATTAGTTAGCGTTGGTCGTTTAATAACTGTACGGATGTGAGGGAATTGCGGGGGAAGGGGGATCATTTCTTCTGGGAAGATTATCAGGCGTTACTGCTAAGCTTCTGAGACACCAAGGCTTCCCTGAAATTGCCATTTAAAAACCACTGACTTGAGATGAGTTCAGAAGCACTATTTTCTGTACAGTGGTATCTCGGGTTAAGAACTTAATTCGTTTTAGAGGTCCGTTCTTAACCTGAAACTGTTCTTAACCTGAGGTACCACTTTAGCTAATGGGGCTTCCCGCTGCTGCAACGCGATTTCTGTTCTCAACCTATTAGCAAAGTTCTTAACCTGAGGTACTATTTCTGGGTTAGCAGAGTCTGTAACCTGAAGCGTCTGTAACCCGAGGTACCACTGTATTCCTAATTGCAGCCATTTTGAGAAATCCACTACAGTTAAGCCTATGTTGAAAACGACAGGGTTGGATCACAAACAGCTTAGGTTTGCAAACAACTTTTGGTTCAGTTGGTGTCACGTCTGAAGAAAGGAAATTCTCCTGATTAACTGGCTATGGCAGATAGAGAAGGATGGAGTGGCATTACACTAGTATCCCTCTCTCTTAAAGGGCTCAGCCTTTGTTTTACGGGGCAGGAGAAATAAAAACATTTTGAGAATAAGTTCAAAAACTGCTTGGGACATGGGTATTTGTGTTGCTCATCACCAGTGATAACCATAGGCTTCAACCAATAGTCTGTGATAATTGTGGCACACGTGGTAACAACCAAACTAATAGTGCTCATAGGTTCGGTGGGAAATTTGATTTAGTGAGCAGTCATGATTTATCGTTTGACGGAGGCTGAACCTGAGAAGAACATTTGGGGGAGGAATTCGAGATTGTGCCATGGCAGTCGTTTCATCAGCTCAAGCATTTCAGGATGGTGGATGGAACAATACCCCCTCTCCTACCTCTGCATGCTGTTCTGAGGTTTTCCCGACACCCCCCCCCCAGCCAATCTTGGGAGGCCTGCAGGGGGAGGACAGCGGGGAAGCCCTGTTACCCTAGTGGAAATCATTGTGTGGACTTCTGCCAACAGGACTTGTTAGTTGAACCCCTCCTTCTGTCAAGCAACTGAACAATCACCAAGATCCCTTCAATTTCTGAATAGTAAATAACAGTAAGATATTTGTTTTCATATAACAACTTGTTGTTGATTTCAATTTTATGAATTATTTCTTCCTTGGTTTTCTATCTGTGGACACACAAAAGCTGCTTATGGTTTTTAAAAATAAAGTTAAACTTGAAACATAATGTACAACAATGGCTTTCCAAAAACTCCCCGCTGAAGTGACATTTGGGGCATGGTCTCTATCTGTTAAAACTTCTCAAAGATGTCATAGGGAGACTTTATAATTTATATTTTAGCTATTAAAGTTTGAAATTAACATGTACAAATGCAATGTCTGAATCCAACAAATAGTTGTATTTCACTTACCATGACGCTGGACTTTTCCCAGTTGCTTATACTCTTGATACTTAATAGAGAACACAAGTTTCCCATTGCTTAATGTGCAAAGTAGCCCATAGAGAGTGAAGAGGCAACTAGTATGCAAATAAATTTTCTGAAGTAGTTTCACATAATTTCCTTGGTTGTGGTGGAATCTACACATATATAAAAAAATTCTGTGAAAATGCTTTTTAAAAAAAGTTTTGAAAAATATATTGAATTTTGCATAGCTCACTTTCGCCATCGAGTGTAGCATTTGTATATTGCACTTTACAACACATTTAAAACATTTTATTTGTAGCTGTATGGCTGAGTCCTATGAATACCAAACAAAATGACTTATACCATCTTTAGATATTTGCCATCTTCATAAAGAAGGACATTGCACAATCCATATGTCATAATAGTGCCTGGAAATTTTGAAAGTAGACGGCTTTAGCCCATGAAGTTGTCTTCTTCTGCAACATCTACTTCAATGCCTTCCATATGGCTCCCTTAATAAATTCTTGTTGGTTTCTGTCAAATACTTGTTTCAAATGGAGAGAATTACTACTTTTTCATTGATGTGGGATATCCAGTCTTTACTGCTATATGTTGTTAGGGAACATTGATTCAATTATCCCAATTTAATATTTATGTGCACTTAATTTAATTTGTGGCTATACTTTTGTGGGGCTAAACGGTTTTGGAGACCACCCTTGTTTCACATACTAGCACCTCAGTGAAAAGGATAGCTAGATTGTATGTGTATCAACCAGAAATTTCAGTGTCCAAAGTGGACATTGACAATATACAAATTAGAATTACAAACAAGTTAATAGCTCATTACTACCAAATGTAGGATTTTAAGAATCTATACTCTGTTTCCATCCATATAGTTTATGCATAGAATTCAGTCCAAGGAATGTTCATTTACCATTTATAGTGGTATAGTTTTTTCAGATTTTTTTGCATGCTGCCACATGACATTGTCTTTATTCAGCTAGTATTCTGGATTAATGTATCCCCTAAAATGCATTTTCTTCTACCACAAAAAAATCTGCCTTGGGCATCTTCTGTCTATGGAGTTGTCTAACAATCAGTGCAGGTAGATTTGCTCTTAACTGCCCAAGAGCAGTCTGAGCAATTGCATGTCTCCTTCCTATTTCGTGCAAAATCTATCACTGCAATTAAACACACAATTTAGCAGTAACATTAAAATTGTTTGGGGTTAGACTTAGATCTATCAGGCTATAGGTGAAAACTGTATCCCAATAAATTTATTGGTGACATTCCTATCAATTTTAAAGGTTCGGGACTATGCCTGGTCAATAATAGAACTTTGCTGCCAAAAATGATTTCTGTAATGCAATTCTGCATCAATCCACCAGATGACACTTGATGATTAAGGTTGAAAAAAATTAATAAATTTCCGCTGACAATTGGATTCCTCCGCCCCATACATTTTCCACGTTGCCTTTGCAATTTTAAACATGTGTGTTACAAAATGCAGATGTTTCGCATTTTGATCTTTCACTGTATGCCACTAATTTAGAAAAAGAGAATCTGTTACGTGTTTACTGCTGTTTAATTGGAAGGCTTAATGATGGAAGCTGAACATTGCTCGGATATCTTTCTTATAATTGGTAATGAATGAGTTGCATCTGGGAGGAAGAACATGAAGTTACTAGCACTGCCAACCGAGGCAGATGGAGCAAGCCAAGTTGCTAGCTTACCTCTTTCAAGACTTTTCAGTCAAGCAGTAGCATCCCTCATGTTGCATGGTATATGAGTTTTGTCATGCTGGGCTTTGCCTTTTCTCTTCTGACATTGAGCATAGGAGCATAGGAATCTGCCTTTTACTGAGTCCTGCCATTGTTCCATCTAGCTCAGAATTGCCTGCACTGACTGGCAATGGCTCTCCAAGATTGCAGACAGGGAATCTTCCCTAGTCCCACCTGGAGACAGCGTCTGTAGCTAGCCGCTTGGGTGCCCAGGGTAGTGTGCGTGCTCTGCACTCGGGGGCAGGACAAGCTACCCATGGGGCGGGGTGAGCCAGGGCAGGGCGCATTGCGCAGAGCCTCCTAGGAGTCCGCTCTCTGTCTCCCCCTCAGCTGTCGAGCAGCTGAGGGAGAGGCAGTGGGCAGACGCAAGCCCCACACTGCTATTTTGGGCATTGCGGAGCCTGCAGGCCCCGTGGTAAGTGCCGCCCCCCGCGGTGTGGCGCCCAGTGTGCCCTGCCCCCCTAGCCATGCCTCTACCTGGATTGGATCCAGGACCTTTTGCATGCAAAGCAGATGCTGTCCTACTGAGCTCTGGCCCTTCCCTTGTCTAGTCCTATTGAATACCTCCACAACCAGTATGTTGCTGGAACCATCTGAATGTGGATGGTGCTCTTGTAGCCTTTGTGGCAGTAGTCACCTAAATTGATTCAGTTATGATACTTATTTTCAAGCTTTGGTGCTTGTCGCTGTTGCAACATGTACTGGTAATGAATTTATGTAATGTGCTGAAGAACTTTTTACTTTGTGCGTTTTCACAACCTTAATATACTTCTTTTGGGTTGAACTAAAATTGGAACTTTGAAAAAAATAATTGGTGTGTTTTAGACATCTAGCTGTTGCATCGACCAGTTATATACATACGGAAGCATGTTGCCCTCTAGTGGTTTGTTCAACAATGAAATGTTATCTAGCATAACTTTTTCAGCTAAAGATTTATTGTAACTGTGGGACCTTGTCATAGACACAGCAGTCCTGGTATTTATTTCCATGCAGGCCACTGAAAATTTAGCAGGCCCCTATGATTTATAAACAGTTTTGTGCTCCTGTTCCAAGCTCTTTTAGAGCCGCAGTAGCAGTGTTAAGAAATCCATATTGCAAAGCCCCCTTTCCTTCCAGAAACACACAATTTGTCACAATCATCCTATAGAACTGAAAATGTTTTGGGGTAAATAAAGGCATGTAAAGGATGGTGTCGTCATTTTTTTCTTCTTGTAAAAAGAGGTTATTGCCTTGAATTTTCCTTGTCCCATTTTCCTGGCTCATCAAAGATTGATGAAAGTTCTCTCCCTGCCCCCCCTTAACCTCATGCTTGAAGTGTTCATAAATTACATAGCAAACCAGGCAGCTCAGTCTGATCTCTAGCGGATTTGCACAAAACGTGCCTATCCTCCTTTTCCTGCTTTCATGTTTCAAACTCTACTTATCCTACTTTCTTGCAGTTCATTCACCCAATACTAAGTGGACTTTCTAAAGAAAACATTTTAAAGTTTAATGTACAATGCTCCTTTCATTGGCACTTTAATGTTGGGTTCTTTTTTATTTTTAACAACCATTATTTGTAGAGATCACAGAGTATACAAAATGCTTCATATACATGCTCTCTGTAATCCTTACTGTATAAAGAGTGCCTGTATTATTTCCCCCATAATATCCTGGAGAGAATATGGTTTGCATCCTATTGTGTTTCTGGCAGAGGAAAAATTTAAATGGAGGAGTTGTCAGGTCCTGCTTTTAGCCAGCTTTCATTCATTCATTCATTCATTCATTCTACAAATCGTCTTGCCAGTAGCCTGCACAGTATGGCTACCCTGGGTGCCCACACTTTAATTAAAGCACAGGAGAGGACATAATTAAGTACTTTCTCAGCATGAGCAGCCAGGGAGGCTGCATAGTGCTGGGAAAATGTTTACTAGAAAGAGAAATTCATACACCACCCTTGACAACTTCTTAACGATATGTTAAGATCAAAATGTTGTACCCACTGGAATTCTCAAGAAATTCAAAAGTGCCCCGAGAATGAAGCAGCAAAAACGGAGGCCTATTTTGCAGTGGAAGACAACTTTCTGGAAATACGAAGGCAGATTTTTGGCACAGTACTAAATGCTGTGATCCTAGAATTGCAAGTCTGGGAAAAGAGCCAATGGATTATTTTGTCTTAATTCCCCACTCTGAAGCAGGGCTTCTAAATGCCTGAAGCATCCCTATTTAGAAGTGTTGTGAGCTCACTGCTGCTTCTAGATTGTATTTGAAAGCAGCCCCACTAAAGCACATCTTAGTATCCCAGCCTGGAAGTTAACAGAGCATGGATAAGTGAAGTTGGTGCTCACTTCCATCATTCAACATGGCTCACACAAAGCCAGTGTTATAAAATCAGTAACACCAATAGAAAGCAAAGCAACAACAGCAAAAACAGTGAAATGCCAATCAAATCCTATCTGAAACAAATTGGTTTTATTCACCTCTAGAAGGTGATGAAGGAAGAGCAAGTTTTATTTTTTCCAGGGAGCTTGTTCTAAAGCTTCAGGGCCATGAGCCTTATTTCCTGTGGATAATGTTCTAGTTTCATGCAGTAAAAGAACTCTGAGCAGGACCCATTGTGCAGAACACTGATAGAGCAAGGCTTCATTCCAGAAGAAGCAAGTTGTGACAATGAGAAGCTTCAATGAAGCCTGGAAGTGAACAGGCAGCAAGGCTGTAGCTGCGCAACTGGTGGAACACGTTTTTGCCTCTTTGTATGTGCCAGGAATAAATCAGCAGCATTTCCACCAGCAGCAACTTCTGAGTCAATTTCAAGGGCAACTTTGTCTAAACGGCATCACCTCTGTTTCAGCTTTAGATTATCCAACTTCATCCACTTGACAGTTTACAGGCACAACTTTCTAACAGAGACAGGTGTTCCTTGATGTGTAGTTATGGCAGGTGCCAGGCAAGCTTACCAGGAGAGTGTATTCTACATGCAAGGAGCCACCTCAAGCGACAGATGCTGAAGGGCAGAGTGGACAAAGTTGTGTGTCATGTGGCCAGCCTTGCACCCCTTAAATTAGCTTGATGCCCTCAGAGGTTCCCTACTTCAGGTGTAGGGTCTGCAGAAAGCCTTTTCCTGCATAAGAGCTCCATGCCACTGTCATCACATTTAAAAGATTCATAAGCTGAGATAAAACAGAGTCTTGTGGCGCCTTAAAGACTAAACAAATGTGTTATGGCATAAGCTTTCATGGACTCAAGCCTACTTAATTAGACCAACACCATGTACAGCAGCATGACCTCATGGGCTTGAGATCACTTAAAGGCAAATAGTACACATGATAATAATAACTTCCTAAATGTGTTGATGGTTGAGTGGTTCATCTAACAAAGGAATTTTCCCTACTCTTGCATGCAGCAAGCATCACATCTAAACTGACCCATAATTTTACTGAAGTATATTGTTTTGCTCAGTTGCCAGCAATGCATTGTAGCCTGTAGGGTGAACAAAGTGAAGCAAGACCATTGGTTTTAACATTTTGTTTGGCTTTCCCCCCCCTTTGTCTCCTTTGATGTTGGATTGAATTTGGAATGTTCAGTTTTAATACCAGTTTGACACACACCCATGATGTGTATTTTGTGGAATTAGGAAATTTATAAGATGCACCATAATATGATACCTTTCTTGAACACTGATAGATCTCAATGAAACATGACTCAATAAAGATTTTTTTAAAATTTTATGTAGACTTTCTCGATATAAATGTGTCTCTGAGATACAATGTGCTGTTAGAAGCAAACCATTTTATCTAATTGGAAGGTCCTCCTCCAGATTTAAAAGAAAATAGTTGAGGATCCAACTTTTGGTAGGTTAACTCATTGGGGGGGGGATGTATTGATGTCAGTGTGTACGTGGTTCTGAATTAGTTTTGACAATCAGTCACCCTATAAAGGCTGCTCACTTGTGATCTCTTTCTGTCTCAGACATTCTTTCTCGCTTTATATATATTACCGCACAGAAGTGAGAGGCTGTGCTGGGATCTTTGATTCTCTCTTCCAATCAGTCGGCATTTCTGCTTTGTGAGTGAGATTCTTTTGATCTTAATACTGATAGAATGCAGAGCTGTTATATTAAGACTGCACAGAAAAATAAGGTGTGTTGAAATAGTTTCAAAGTGAGACATCACATGACCTAGTCTTGGTTTCATGCAAGGTTAATTTTAGACCCACGGTTCTTTAAATGTATTGACGCACACAAACTGTTATTTAGAGCTCCACTTAATGTAGACCTTGTCTTCTGGTATGTCTGCTCACTACACACGCCACATTTCTGAACAGGGTCTGCACAGCTTCAGTGTTCTTTATAGCTCTGAAACTCCACTGGTTTTAAGTAAATATGTAGCTGTACAATTAATGAGGTGTAATATTCAAAACACAGCTCATTATCTTTTGTGTAGATAATTCATCTTAGTTCATCATATCTAAATTCTCTAGATACAGTGCTTTAAAATGGTGTGGAGATGATAGTTTATGCAGGAAAATTGGAGCTACTTCATCCATCGCTCAGTGATGTCGAGGTATAGCCCCAGTCAAGCACTGTTAGCTTTGTAACATGTTTTGGGAAGAGAACCTTGCTGTGCCAAATATTCTCAATTTGTAGGTTAAGAATAGCTGTGTTAGCAGGGTAGAAATACTTCCAGATATTCACCCTTCTCCAGTGTTGCTTTGGTGCCATTGGTTTCCCCAGTCTTCCCTTTTCACTGCTGGATTACTCCCAATCTGGGATCATACAGTGAGCAGGATAACATCACAATTCAGCCAAAAAGATTTTGGCATGCAATAACCACACAGGCCTGGTTCACACATAACACTGAGCCAAACCATGGCTTTGAGCTAACAAGTCAACGGGCAGCCTCCCAGAGAAGATTTCATGGCTGCTTTCCTTTCCCCTTGTCATTTCGCTCTTGCGCTGTGCTGAGTTAAGATGTGGTTTGGCTTAGCGTGTCACCTGTGAGTTAGCTCTTTGCAGAGAAACTGTGAGCTTTCACAAAGGCTTGATCACAGCGACTGTGCTTTCCTCTCCAGGAGCCTACACATTTGCCCATTCGTTCTAAGCCATGGTTTGGCTTTGAGCTATGTGCAAACAAGGGGCAAGTGAAACCCATTGATACCAAGAGCAAGTCTGGGCAATGTAATTGAAAGCTCTAACTGCAGGGAATTTTTTTTAAAAAAAATTGATTAGAAAAACTGAGGCATTTCTTTACCCTGCTGAAATTTGTGAATAGTTTTGGCTTACTATAATTCCTATCCAAATTTGTAATACTAGCTCCTTCTCCTTGACTAATACAATTCAGTAGAGTGCTGAAACGGACTAATTCCAAAGCAGCTCTTCATCTGGCCAATTCCTTTCCTAAGGACTGCGAGAGAAATGGAGCTGCAATGCCTCTTTTTTTCTTTTCCATTGCACATTGTGTTGACAACGGCACATCCTTTAACATGCTGAAGTTAGTTTATTTATTAATGTGCAATTATTTTAAAAGTGATGTTGCATGGCTTTGGTAGGAGGCTCCAC